GTTGACGGTCACGTGCTGATCCAGTAACTCGAACACGTTCCACCAATAGTGGACTGATGACAATTGATGTGTCTGGCAATAGCACGTGTGCCAGTCCTGGACATTCCCATGGCTTCATTCCGTTGATTTTCAGTAAGTCTCGGCATCTCTATCTCGATTCCTTCACACGTCCAACAACAAATTACGACAGATTGACGTTTCACAGTTCATGTACTGCACATTAAGTTGAAAACATGCTTTTAAAGGGCTCAAACACAATGCTGCACGTGAATATTGGGTTTTTCATGTACATCTCGTGCCCACTTTCTTTTTTTGCACACGGGCCGATATTTTTTGCGTTTGGGAGCATTGTGTGAAACAATAGTTCATAGTATTGCATAATATTATACATACAAAACCACCTAGTAATAAAATATTTGGGAAAAAAAAGTGATGCGTTTTCCATGGCGCTCCGTAGAATACCTGCTCTTCACTAACTGCGAATCAAGCTGGCTCTCACTACCAAATTCGCTGGATGACCATGACTTGAGTGTAATCACGTGCTCGGTATGTGCTAATTCGAGCCTTCGATAAATAAAATGAATTGAAAGTAGTCTATTTTTAGTAACCCATTTCTTTGCTCAAAATAAAAATGCTTTTATCTCTTCTAAAGTAATTTAATGAAATGAAATGAAATGGGGTTTAACGTCCTACTGTTCTGCTCCTGTTCTAGGGTTAGGGTTAGGGTTAGGGTTCCAACTGCCAAGGGATCTTTTACGTGCACGCCAATGTGTACACGGAACCTCGGGTTTTTTTTCGTCCCATTTTAATTCATGTATATTCGTTCGAGAGAGAGAGAGAGGGGGGCGGAGGTTAACGTCAACTCGACACAAACTAGGTCATCTCGGGACTAACGTATGGCTTAATATGCGCGTAGGGGTCTTAAGCAGTGGGAGGATTAACTTTACTTTTCAGTATAGATATACGAAAGTTTGGATTAAGCCCGCATTTTTATTTCATATAACCCCCCCCCCCCCCTTCACTTTTCAAGGGAAGTAAATATAAATGTGCCAGAAAATTATTTATATATTTGAAAAGAACAGTGAACGTGCTTTCCACTGATATGTAGACTGGGTGTGAACAAGATGAAAGGGCAAACGTTGTTGTCAATTAATATAGCGAGGTAAATCGAACTCTCGGGGGGGGGGGGGGGGGGTCACGTGGAACAATTTACTTTTTAAACACAAACATTTATCGTAACAGCATTTATTTTACTAGCTTAAAACATGAACATAACATATAATTCGTGGTGGTGTCAAACCATTATTAATAGCACGGTGCTGTTAATCAATTTATAACAACATGGTGGTGATAAACCATTAATAATAACATGAGGGTGTTAAACTATTAATAATAACATGGTGGTGATAAACCATTAATAATAACACGGTGGTGATAAACTATTAATAATAACATGGTGGTGATAAACCATTAATAATAACACGGTGGTGATAAACCATTAATAATAGCATTGTGCTGATAAATTATTAATAATAACATGGTGGTGATAAACCATTAATAATAACATAGTGGTGATAGACCATTAATAATAACATGGTGGTGATAAACCATTAATAATAACACGGTGGTGATAAACTATTAATAATAACACTGGTGGTGACAAATCATTCATAATAACATGGTGGTGATAAACTATTAATAATAACATGGTGGTGATAAATCATTAATAATAACACGGTGGTGATAAACCATTAATAATAACATGGTGCTGACAAACCATTAAAGATACATTATGGGGGATAAGATAACGCGATGACAGTTCTCGCTATAATAGTTAAAAACTAGATAGTGTAAAGGTAATTTGCTGAAAATTTCAGTCAAATTGATCCACCATGAGCCGAGATAGAAGCTCGTGAAATTTTGGCATAGTCTCGGTCATCATTACTAAAATCATTAATATAAACAGCAAGTCTCGATTATCCGCTTTTCTTGATTTAATTATCAACGGCCGTTAGCGGCATATAGGAATTTAATCCAGCCAACATCGAAGGCTAGCCGTGACATCGAGAGTTTCTTATGGTCTGGATAAGTTAATTAATGTCTAATTGATAATTTAGATAACATTTCAGGCCTAAAGAAAGACTTGTAATAAGCAGACTTTACTCTTGCATAATGCATGTTTAATAATAACATGGTGGTGATAAACTATTAATAATAACATGGTGGTGATAAACCATTAATAATAACATGGTGGTGATAAACCATTAATAATAACATGGTGGTGATAAACCATTAATAATAACATGGTGGTGATAAACTATTAATAATAACATGGTGGTGATAAACCATTAATAATAACATGGTGGTGATAAACTATTAATAATAACATGGTGGTGATAAACCATTAATAATAACATGGTGGTGATAAACTATTAATAATAACATGGTGGTGATAAACTATTAATAATAACATGGTGGTGATAAACCATTAATAATAACATGGTGGTGATAAACCATTAATAATAACATGGTAGTGATAAACCATTAATAATAACATAGTGGTGATAAACCATTAATAATAACACGGTGGTGATAAACTATTAATACTAACATGGTGGTGATAAACCATTAATAATAACATGGTGCTGATAAACTATTAATAAAAACATGGTGGTGATAAACTATTAATAACACGGTGGTGATAAACCATTAATAATATCATGGTGGTAATAAACCATTAATAATAACTTGGTGCTGATAATGTAGTGAGGCGGAATTTTAATATGTTTATAGGTTTTATTATGTCAAGTAATATAGTGCATTGAGTGAGTGCACCTTTAAACTAACAAATTGACACTAATTTTACCTGCAACTGGTCTATAATAACATCTCTCCTTTAACTTGGCTTGTTAACCTGTACTGTTTTCTTAGAGTCCAAATCTTGGGGTGAGTACAATTCTACTCCCTTGGTTACAAGCAAGTTTTCTTTTTATCTAAACCCCACTTTGGACACCAGACATTAGACAGATTTCGAAGTGTAAGGACATTTTGATACCTTCAATCAAATTGTAAATTTATTTTCAGAGAATTGTTTCAGTTATACAGGTAATTGTGCTAATTCTCTTATTTTGGGTAATTGGGGTTTAGATGTAGCGGATGTAGGAATGATAGAAATTGTAATATTAAGCAACCATTTTATTTAAATAGATAGAAAATAACATGTAAAGATCATTAGTTATTCATATATACATATATATAGTAGGTTATAAGGTACCGTTTTGAAAGTATATTGTATATATAATCAGAATAATGTTATTTTCCAGAATATAGTTATCTGAAGATTTTGTTTACCATCTTGCTAGTCTTCGTTAAAAAAAACCTTCTTTGGGTATGTGATCAGTTTCTTATATATATCATTTAAGGCATATTGAATATATTTTATTTAGTTAGTGATGTATTTTTAGTGTGAAAATTAATGATATCAAGTTGGTAAATAAAGGCTTAAAAACCAAACACCTTAGTTTTTATTGAGAATTTACACCCACCCACCCCCCAGTTACAATAAACTATTAATAATAACATGTTGGTGATAAACTATTAATAATACCATGGTGCTGATAAACCATTAATAATAACACGGTGCTGATAAACTATTAATAATAACACGGCGGTGATAAACTATTAATAATAACATGGCGGTGATAAACCATAAAAAATAACATGGTGGTGATAAACCATTAACAATAACACGGTGCTGATAAACCATTAATAATAACATGGTGGTGATAAACAATTAATAACATGGTAGTGATAAACCATTAATAATAACATGGTGGTGATAAACCATTAATAATAACATGGTGCTGACAAACCATTAATAATAACACGGTGCTGATAAACCATTAATAATAACATGGTGGTGATAAACCATTAATAATAACATATTGGTGATAAACCATTAAAAAAAACATGGCGGTAATAAACCATTAATAATAACATGGTGGTGATAAACCATTAATAATAACATAGTGGTGATAAACTATTAATAACACGGTGGTGATAAACCATTAATAATATCATGGTGGCGATAAACCATTAAAATAACATGATGGTGATAAACCATTAAAAATAACATAGTGGTGATAAACTATTAATAATAACATGGTTGAGATAAACTATTAATAATAACATGGTGCTGATAAACCATTAATTATAACATGGTGGTGATAAACCATTATTAATAATATATTGGTGATAAACCATCAATAATAACATGGTGGTGATAAACTATTAATAATATCGTAGTGGTGATAAACCATTAAAAATAACATGGCGGTGATAAACTATTAATAGTAAACACGTGCTGATCAACCATCAATAATAGCATGGTGGTGATAAACTATTAATAATAACATGGTGGTGATTTGAGTTAAGGAAGATCTTTGAGCACAAAAATGAAAATAAAGTACGCTGTTATATTTATAGGCAGTAATTCGCCTTGACAATTTAGAGTGGTTCCATTCGACCCCAATTTTCGACCAATCAAAATCGGGGAAATTTCTGATTTCTGCTACAATCAATCATCACCACCATCCACATGTCATTATGTCTACATCTCCAATAGGTATATCCCAATATCTTCACTGACCCATGCAATCACAACGTCTACTACCATAATCATTATCCCCAGTCAACTTATATATAATATTCACCATTTCATCACTAATAGGTTTATGAAACCATCACCGTCATCATCATCATCTTTCAACATCTACAACTACCACCATCTTCTCTCCACCCAATCTTCTTTCAACACCCATCTTGTCATCACCATCAGTAACACCCGTATCTTTATCATCCTCATCTATAACAACATCATACCTCAACACCCATCTTGTCATCACCATCAGTAACATCCGTATCGTTATCTTCCCAATCTATAACAACATCATCCTTCAACATTCATCTTGTCATCACCATCACTAGCATCTGTATCCATATCTCCTCATCTATAACATCATCATCCTTCAACATCCATCTTGTCATCACCATCACTAGCATCTGTATCCATATCTCCTCATCTATAACATCATCATCCTTCAACATCCATCTTGTCATCACCATCACTAGCATCTGTACCTTTATCTTCCCAATCTATAACAACATCATCCTTCAACATCCATCTTGTCATCACCATCAATAACACCCGTATCTTTATCATCATCTTCTATAACAGCACCATCCTTCAACATCCATCACCATCACTAACTTCCGTATCTTTACCATCCTCATCTATAATAACTTCATCCTTCAACATCTAATTGTCATCACCATTACTAACATACGTATCACCCTCACATGCTATCATCATTTCTTGGTAATCATAATAATTAAAATCATTGTCGCTATACAGAAACAACATCACCATCAGCCTAATCATCATGATAATCATCGCCAGTATCGTTATCATCATTATCATCATCATCTCCATCTTCAAGTCATTTCAGATTATAACCTTGGTAATCACAGTCATCAAAATCATTGTCGCTATCATCATTATCATCATCATCATCATCATCATCATCGTCATCACCATCGTCATCTTCCATTATATTATCCTCATCCAGATAATCATCCATGGAATAACGGATAAAGTATTTTTTAGGAAGAAGATCAACCAGTAAGATCTTCTTCGCCAGACTGTTAGCTAACTGCAGTTGTTCAACTTTCTCCTTTATTTCTAGTCCCAATTTCTGCCTGATGACCCTTATACACTTTTCTTCAAGAGATAGGTTAAAACATGCAAACTTGAATTCCTCCCTGTTCTCTGAGTGAAACATCTCCTCTCGTCCATCTTGTGCAGAATGAAACATTCTAGTTCGTCTATCTTGTTCATCCTCCATTTTGAAATTAACAGTCGAAACAATCTCTTCTTCTGGAGCCCCACTTCGATAAAGTAGTTGTCTAAGTTTATTTCTCTCTTTACTGTCAAAATCTTGTAAATGAACATCGTCATTGTAGTAATTACGTTCAGTAGATACAGACTGAAGATGCTGAAGGCAGCAGTTTTCAGCAACTAAATATTTTATTACATCAACAGTTTTCTCTGGATCAGAACAGGTAGGGAAAAGTAAAGCTCGCTGTATCAGTGTATTGCCATCTGGTCCTGGTAAATTCAGAAGTTTATGGCCACCTCTGATCAAACATGTTTTTAGACAATGTCTACCATAATCAAGATCCAAAAACTGTAAAGCAGATGTGTTATATTTTGTTTCTAAAATATTGATATTTGACCCTAATTCAAGTAGTAATTGTATAATAAATTTATTATTTTTCTTGGCCGCTAAGATCAAAGCAGTTTTTCCATTATTGTCCTGACTATTAATATTACCACCAGTCTCGAGTAGAAGTTTGACACATTCTTGAAAAGTTTCATATTGTTCACTCAGTGAATCGTCCATCGAATTTCCAGTTTGTTTCAGTTTAGACTTAGATATTAGGCACCCGATTACAGCACTGTGTATGGCTGTATGACCTTTATTGTTCTGTATATTAACATCACATGTAGGACCGTATTTTGTTATCAAGTCCAGGTATTTATGGTTCAATAAGAAAGCACCAATAATAAGAGGAGTGTTAGTTAGAGAATCTTTATGATTTATATCAATATTAGAATTAAACAACCAATTAAACTTCTCTGGTGTAAACTCATATTTCACTTGAGCCAAAAGATGAAAAATATTTCGATTTGTTGTTTCAGTAAAACTATTCACTAATGGCTTTAATCCTATATAATACTCAAAAATATTTAATTGGCCGAATTTCATAATATCATACAGTAGTTCAGGTCCATCAGCAACCAAATTAGCACCAGACTCGACTAAAAGTTTAAAGATAGCCAGAGTAGTTTTAAAATATCTTTTACTTTTCACCGTTTTTACAAAACAATGTCTACAAGCGGATAAACCATGATCATTAGTTCTATTTACATTAACAATATCTACAAGCACTAATTTAACAATATCTATATAGTGGGCGTATTGGGAGGCATACATTAAAGGCGTTGTTGTATTTACACTCTGGGTAGGGTCAGCACCATGTTGTATTAATAAAGTTATAATACCCACACATGTTTCTTTATCACCATGGTGATATATAGCACATGTTAAAGGCGAGTGACCCCCGACAACCATATTTAAGTCAGCACCGTGTTGTAGTAATAATGTTATAATACCTAAACTCGTATCTGTATCACCATGTCGTATTATAGCACATGTTAAAGGTGATCTACCAAATCCGTCAACCATGTTTAAGTCAGCACCATGTTGTAGTAATAATGTTATAATACCTAAACTCGTATCTTTATCACCATGTCGTATTATCGCACATGTTAAAGGTGATCTACCCAATTCGCCAACCATGTTTAAGTCAGCACCGTGTTGTATTAATAATAATATAATATCTAAACACGTATTTGTATCACCATACTTATAAATAACATATTCTAATGATTTATTTAGATTGAACTTGTCGAATTCAGCTCCAGCTTCTGTTAGAATGTTAGTACAGTTTAAACATTCGGCCACATTATCAGTGTTTTTTATACAGTAAAATAACGCAGTGTAACCATATTTAGATTTATAATTAATCATGTTCTTGATTTGATCATTACTTAAAAGAATTGACAACATTTGACCAGATTTAGCAAACATTAATATAGTTTTATCAGAGTCTGGATTGAGATTTAAATCAGAAACGGTTAAAAGATATTTAGTAATATTGAAACTATTATACTTAACAGATTCTAACAAAGCATTCCATACTTTATCGTCATGTTCAACCTGTAAATATAATTTCTTACTATAGAGATACTGAATACCTTCAACAAAATCTGATTTTATAGCACATGTCATTAACTGTATATTTAAATTAATATCAAGTTGACCATCAGATTGTAATATTATAATATTATTAAATAAACACTTAACAAGTGATAAATATCTTCTCTCTAATGATTGACAGGTTAAACTTATAATGACGTCTTGTAGTCTTCTGACGTCATCTGGCTGTAGTTCTTTTAATATGGTTTCCATTAGATCAATGTTGATGTCATTAACAGCTTGAGATAATCTGTAGGAAATAACAATATTGATAATTATGCTTACGTTTATTTAAATGGGTAGTTAATCCAAACAGTCTTATCTTTTAATTGTTACTTCTCTATCTGTTACTACTTTGTACGGTAAATTAGTCAGATTAGAAAAACATATTTGTATATCACATCAATACTATATTATTTAATTCTTTGCTCTCTGTTGTTCCTATCGCACTGATTACAAACTGCAAAAAGTACAAAATTCTGCTGCTAGTTTAATAATTCAAGTCCCACTTTCATCTCATATTACTCCTATCTTCTATATAATCTACATTGGTTACCTATCTCCTTTAGAGTTAAGTTAAAATACACTTTCTTACATATAAATACTTAATTAACTTATATCCCCCATATCTTTAAGAGCTCCTTGAAGTTTATTTTCTTAAAAGGAATCTCAGATCTTCAACAGACCCATTCTTGTTAGTAGAACGTTCTGCCAACTTATGTTCGTTTTGTAATCGTTCATTGTTTGTTCATGTCCCTCTGCTCTGGAAAGAACCTGTTCATGTTTGGCGTTATTTAAGACACATCAAAAACACACTTATTCTTATAACGTATTTTCAACGGTAATACATCATTTGAATCTATGCATAGTGATGATAGTTTATCCATTAATAATAATGATAATAATATCTGATAATAATTATAGTTTTACCTGTCCTGTATCTTCTGGATTTCATGTTTTTGTTTGATATCTTCACTTTCACTTTCAACTGATAGTTTTGCTAGAAGGCAATAAAAAGTTAATAAATCAATTATGCCCCAATAAAAATATACTCCACGAAGTTTTTCGTTTGATTAGACCTAATCCCACTCAAGCACTGCCCTACTCCCCTCCAATTTCTGTTGCAAATTATGATTGGTTCAATAGCCCGTTCAACAACCAATGCATTACTACGTAACAAAACCATTCGGGGTTAACCAGCGCTTAATATGTTACCGTAAAGTGTTTGGTGACAATCGCGGCTACATTACGTCATAACGCGCGACATGTATTACGCACAATTAACTGGCACTAATTGTTTTATAAACGAGGCTATCCTGAATTCCTACAATGTAAACATTCGGTAATCGACGCACACGTGTAATCTTTTGATTTTCTCTTGGAGCACACAGCAGACGAACAATATTTTAACCAGCTTTTAATACATTTAATCAACCGACGAAGAACCCAGATCAAAGAGAAGGGCTGTCATGTTACGTATTGTGTTTCACCAAACTGGATAGAAATACAATAATATATATAATTCATGGATTATCTAAACAAAAATGGATAAATATTATCGAATACTTGGTAGGCAGTAATAATTGGTACAAACAGACACGTTTATAGAATTTATATAGAAGATTTGAGTCGAATAATTTTCGTTCCAATAGCGAGTTTCTGCGACGGCCAAATTTACCGATGCGATTATCGATGTTTGCTCCCGATGCATCCAAGGCCAGGGTTAAAACATTTCTTGAAATCAGCACTCACAAGCACTGTGATATTATGTTTCAAAGAGGTCGCCAACGTTAAGCGGCAGTCATGGAAATTCCCTTTATTTTACTGTAGGCCTACACAGGAAAGATTTGATAGGACATCAGCAAATGGACACACTCCATCAAAAACTCAAGTTTTCAGTTTAAGTATAGCAATAGCTAGAGAGAAATTTCTCGGGCCATTGCATCAGGAATATGCACCAATGTTAGAATGTATAATGTCCTATATATTGGATCTGTTTTATAACTGACTAAACTGTTGTATAAAATTTATAAATCAAGGACAAATATAGTTTCGATACACAATTCGAGGACAAAATAGCTCCATAGTACAACAACAGTAATACCGTATCGCAATCGTTACAAATGGAGAACTTAGTTTACAACTTATCACTTTACCTATTTTAGTTGGTATCAGGTGTTCCATTTCAACATCACTCTCGTTTGAGCTTTTTCTTTTACATGTTCTGCCATCCCTTTGTACATTGGTCTTATCCATTCTAAAACAAGAAATATCTCAGATAAAACACAAAGAACAGTAATAACGTCTGTTTGGTTGACGGAAAGATGCTTAGATTCCTAAGCATGCTGTATAGAATGTATATCTTTTAAACTGTGTTACCTAGCTGTTCTCATAGTTGAAGAGATCAGTACTAAAGTGGGCCAACCCACATTGACAAGTTTTCGAGAAATGTGACTTCAAAATTTAACGATGATTAAAAATTATGTAATTCACCCGATCAGTGATATTTTGACATCTTATATGTCTTGTCATATCTTAATTCATGATGATCAGTGATATTTTGACATCTTATATGTCTTGTCATATCTTAATTCATGAGAATATTTTTTAAATTCACTTTGTAATATTTCCCCGAGATTTTGTGGGGTAATGTGTTAAATGCATTAAAGCTGACTACAGTGTGAGTAATAATTGTGGGTAAGAATTGCTTTATTCATACACTTTAAACTTTGCTTTTTTTATAATATAGATTTATTAAAATGAACAAAACAACATCCTTTTTGGATAAAAACGTTTCAATGCTTTTTGTACTGCTAGTACTAGCTAAGTTTTCAATAATTAAATTACATACAACTGCTACACACCGCTGATGTTTAAAAAGCGTCTGCTTGTGACCTTGTGTAAGAAAATTCTCAAAAATCACGTGCAGCGGAAGTAAGTAGATGCGATCTTCAAGTCTTGTGTTGTAAATTTAAACAGTTTAACAATACTAAATGATCCGGACTATCTTCCATTCAAGCATTCGATTGGCTGCGGTATTCCTGACCTAACAGTGACAGTAATCTATTTATAGATCGTTTTATTCTTGCTTTCAGAAATTAAGTTTCGTCGAGTTTTCTAAAAATATTCGGTTTTTTTTAAAATATGACAGCCTATTTATAGCCTGGTAATTAGCCGCGTAAGTGTTTTCAACATTTAACGATACTCAAAACATTAGTTTTATCATAGTTTATTGTCGTCGGCTAATTTCAACTGCTGTATAGTGTATTTATTATCTATGTTTATGATAATTTTTTTCGATATTTGAAGTTTTTGGCGATATTCGATAAACCACTATATCGTAGTTGGGTCTGAAAATACCATATCGCGATAAATGACTATATTGAGAACATCGTACAGTCCTAACAAAAATGAACTTATATTTAGCGATTAAACAAAATTTCTAAAATGAGACGCTGTCTTCGAAAAGAGCCATAATATCCTAATATCGATGACTAGTCCGATCGTTAATGTAAATCCGTCGGCTTTTCGGGTAGAAATCGTGGAATAAGCTTTATTTTGTAGGTTTTGATGGTTGATTACAAAAAATCAATGTTGACATTTTTTTTGAGTAGGTCTTCACAGTATGGGAGGCCATTATTTGAGGGCAGCCATTTTGCGATAATATTCCAAATTATTTTTTATTTTCACATTATTTATAATGTTATCGACATATCAACTGTGATTTAGCAATGTATTAATATTGGCAGCATTCATGACTATATCTCAGATTGTTTTCCATCATTTCATGAGGATATTTCCAAGATGGCGCACATTTTTAGCGGGATAATCGGTCGATGTGCTGATTTCGATTAAGTAGTAGTGTTTGGTGTCAATATATATGTTTTGGGGGTCACAAATTACATTCCTGACATTAACAACCTTGTAAAATGATCACATGTTCATATACTTAGCATATTACCAAGATGGCGGGAATTTTTGGCGGGAAAATGAGACGATGTGCAGATTTTGATTAAGTGGTCGTGTTTGGTGTCAATATATATGTTTACGGGGACGTAGAATCAATTTCTGACATTTACAACCTTGTAAAATGATCACATGTTTACATATTTAGTATATTTCCAATATTGCTGCCACTTGTGGCGGGAAAATTGGACAATGGGTTGATTTCGATTAAGTAGTTGTCTTTGGTTGTTTTCGGGGAGGCAGATTCGATTTCTGTCATATACAACTACGTAAAATGGTCGTATGTTCACCAATTTAGCATATTTCCAAGGTGGTGGAAATTTTTCTAAACACATTATTAGCATTTATTTATCATCGATTTTCCTGTGAAAGTGAAGCCTATTCCTGGCATGAAGGCAAAAAGAGCAAAGCGGCAGCGTGGTGCTTACGCCACGTGCCCATCATTGTTTTTTTGTCAACATTGTTTTTTTGTAATCAAACATCAAAACCTACAAAATAAAGCTTATTCCATGATTTCTACCCGAAAAGCCGACGGATGGGAATTAGGTAACAAACCGAATCCGACTAGACACCAAGACATAGCACAAAGTCACCCGATGGATATTTTAACTACAGTCTGCGAAACACTTTCTGCACCTCATGACGATCTGACCGGTAGTAGTAAAAGTTTGCCGCAGAGGTTGTACGAACGGATTTTGACCCTATGACGTCAGACATTGATAAATCAATAAGCGTGGACGTTTCTAGTGGTTTACCCACAGTTCCGTGTATCGCACGCCAAGAAGTCGCCGTAAAAGATTGTGTCATTGGCTAATCTCTCACGCCATCCAGAGCGCAGGTTATGTAACAACTCTTCCAGATCTTAGCGTAGTACAGACAAATAAAACCAAATTTTGAACTATAAAAAACGAAACGAAATAGGATCTGTGTTTTAATCCGATTGAGCGTCGTGGGCTAAGTAACAAGCGACCATCTCTGATATGTAATCTTCACCCTCGCTAATCAACCCTTTTATACAGGTCAACAGCACGTGCACGCCAATAATATGCATGAGTTTGGGCGAGCCATATACGTACGTAATTGAGCTCAGAGAGCCAACCTAATAAACACCTACACCAAGTTTGAACATTTTAGCTCAATTAAAAGGGAAGTTATTGTGTCCCCAAGACCGAAAGACAGACAGACGGACAGACCCATTTTAATTGTCTACTGTTTTCTTCGAAAGGCGGGGGACAATACGTATTTATGAATGTAAAATGGATAAATTGACTATGATTTCTTCCGACCCCAAAATATAAATATATTAGAACTTACAAATCGAGAGTGAAGACCTTATCTGTACCACTTTCCATTTCTTCAACTGATGTTTTATTAGTTTTATCCTTCTTGCCCTGAAATAAAACACTCATATATATTTAACTTGGATATAACATTTTATCGTGCTTTGTTTAGTATCTTACAATGGAGGATGTGAAATATTAAGATTAACATCTTTAACTTTTTACAATATATAAAATAGTATTGAGAGTATAAATATATCTAGAAGAATACATGGACCTGATGCATCATCTGTCTTTCACCCAAGTAATAAGTGGTATCCGGTGTTCCAGAAAGAGTAAGTACGCCTGTATTTATTGTAGCTATGGATAATGATGCCTTACCTATAACTACTTGATAAAACCTAGTAATATGTCTTACTGATAATTAATTGTTAAATCCTTTAATTATAATTACAGTTTGTCCTAATCTTTAATCATAATTACATATTGCCAAAAAATATCTATATATTTTCGTCATCTTTAATTATGCTTATATATTGTCGTCATCATTAAACATACATTAGTGCAAGAGCTAAATCTGCCAATTGCAGGTCTTTCCTTAGACCTGAAATGTTATGTTATATAAACCATTAATTAGGCAGTAATTAACTTATCCAGATCATAATCAACTCTCGGTAATATCGCTAGTATCAACTCTCGGTAATATCGCTAGCCTGTGTTATTTACTGGATTAGAACCCGGTCTGCTGCTGCTGATTAAATCAAAAACTGGATAATCGAGACTATGTTTTTTATCCTACCGATTTTAGTAATGATGATCGCTAAATTCTGGGTTCAGAGAGGATCGATTTGATTGACCTTTCCACAAATTCCCTTTACAGTATCTAATTTTAAACTATTATAGTGAGAACTGTCATCTCTTTATCTAATCTCCCATAATGTATCTTTAATTATGGTCGTATAGTGTCGTCATCTTTTTGTTCACTGAATTTTGAAATTTATGTTTTTTAACTACTCTACTATTAAAAGTGTCCATCCATCAATATCTAGTGTATAGAGTACAGAAGTACAGGAAATGTATACGGTAATATCTTACTGGTACTAATCTTCTTTCTGTTTGCTGTTTAGCCGATATGTCTGCAAGAAAATAAATAATAGTTTACATACACTGCCTCATACATAACATACTACACATAGTCTACAAAATAAAACTCACAACTTTGTTTCACAATAAATCATGACAAGATCAAAAGTATGCCGACAAAAATTGATTTCAAGAGTGGTTTAACAAAAATATATTTAAATTGTATATCAGCTATGCTCAATCACCGACATACCTTCTCCATGATTCACCTGGTCTTTATTTAGATCGTCATCTATTGGTAATAATATCAGGGGTTTATCTTGATCTAGTCGTTCATCATCTGTTCGGTCCATGTCTACATTGCTATATGTTGCTTGTTGATCAAGTTGTTCCTGTAAGCGGCAAATAATCAGTTCTTTATCTTGAAGTTTGTCAGTATATTTTTTAGCTAAATATTCTTGGTATTTCTCCATTTCCTGAGAGTTGGCTGATGTTGTCTTTAAAGCTGTATTTTCAATAAGCAGCTCATGTATTTGTAACTGCAAGGTTTCGATTTCATTTTCAAGAACAATAATTCTCCTCTGGATCATCGATTCCCTTTCGGAAGTGAGCTCCTCATCTACAAAAGATATACGTTTAAAAGCATGGATTAGGCTATATCAATATCAGTGCTGGACGTCATTTTAATCCCTAGTAAACTACAGTATTTTAGATCAAAGATTAGTAAAGCTCTCTGCTACGATGAATGAATGATTGCCATCGGGTTTAACGTCCCACTTTTCTGCAATCGCCGTAATAATAAATACGGGCATACGCCATATGGTGTGCTATACGGGAAATTTTCCCCAGACAGCAATTGCCGTATAACTCCCAAGGGTTTGTTCAAATATTGTGGTCAAATTTGTAGATATTTCACATTTTGCGAGGAGGGTTTGGTCGTCGAATGGGTAGCGCATGCGCGTTGTATGATAATGTCTGTCATTGAGTCAGCTGTTGTGGTTTCGATTCCTTGCTTGTACGTAACAGGGAGTAGGGGCGCCTGTCCAACATCGTGTGTTTTCTCTGGATCCTCCGGTTTCTTCCCACTGCTAAAGACCCCTACACGAAAGCAAATGATTGAAATAAAATTAAATCATATGTTAGTTCCGATATGACCTAGTTTGTGCCGAGTGGGCGTTAAACCCCATTTCGCTCTCCCTCTCTCTCACACACATTTTGCGACAATTGTCCGGTGATCTGAAACGCATGTTCATGGCGCGGTCCACGTCCTCGGTTTAAACGATCTAGTTTTCTTATTATTATTGCTAACTGCGCAGATTATAGCAAACTCCCCACATTATTTAGTTTGATTAGAGCTAATCCCACTCAAAACTGCTTTAATGGAAGCAAATTTCTGTTCCAAATTATGACTGGTCAATAGTCCGATTAACAACCAATAGCTAACTGCGTAACAATATGATTACGCTTAAAACAGAGCTCCAAATTGTACCAAATATGTTTACATAACGTTACGTCATGACTCACGATTTTATTATGCCCAATTAATCAGTGCATGCAGAATATTGTAGAAAAACTAATTGCGTGACAAACGAGGCTATCAACACGAATACAATTTAAACAAAACAATACTATATAGAGACGAACAAGACTTTCACCGTTTTTAATACCTTAAATCACTATCCAAAGTTTTATAGAAGCCCCTAGATTAAACGACGGGCTGCCATGTTGCTGTACTTGGAATAGATTTGATTGAAATGGAAGAATAGACACACTCCCTCAAAAGCTCAAGTATCAGAAGCCAATCCAGCAATGGCCAGAGAAGGATTTCTCGGGCAATTGCTTTGATAATATGAGATTATAGTCGCATTTCGTTTATGGCTGTGTGTGACAGTCCAGCTTTCCGTAAAGCGTAGTAATTAATAATATTTAATTTAATTGTCCATTGTGTTATTATGTATATTTTCATTCATATTTATATTGTTTAAATGTATTTTCGGACATCCCCGCCCCCTACACGCGCTGACATTGGCTCTTTTCTATTGCCTGGCACGTGCTTATAATTGCCTTAAATTGGAACGAATGATAGATGTGAGCTATAGCACGTGGTTATGTCACGTGATATTAGGTATTTGTCTTGTTCAGATTTGAAGCAGTAGTCAAGACGTACTGAGATACTAAAAAGATTATTCTAGGCTATCACACCGACTAGTTTGATCCCGACTTTAATAATTACCGAGAGCCCGCGATTAGAGAGAGCCCTTTTGGCAGCCGTTAGGAATCTGGAGAACCCTGTTAGGAGCGTGATCCGAGACCCCCACGAGCGTTAGACGGAGGTGGTATTTTATTGTACTGAGAGAATAAGAAAGAGTTGTTAATTAATCTATCTGAAGTGAAGTCAGTCTTTCTGAACCATTGCTACTTCATCACCTCTACATTCTAGTGAATGCTCAACAGAACTATTGCATACAGCAATAATCCGCTCTATATGAAGAGAGCAGGTTCACTCAGTTCCATAACCCAAGAAGTGACGTTCTGGGTGCACCGTAATCGAACTTATCAAAGATCTGGAGGGTCCACACACTTAATAAATATGTCATTTGTTGCATGAAGGAAGGTGTGGGGAGGGGGGGGGGGGTAAGCCTCAAACAGAAGTTCAGATGCGCACCTCCAAAAATCATCAAGCTGTTCCAAGATCATTTGATTCTGAAACGTGTGTTAAATGTCACCTGAAGTGTCAACCTGTTATATGTATTAACTTTTTGTATCGCGAACATATATTTGAACAGGTCTGCAACCAAGGGCGATAATACATAACGTCACTGTCCAATCCGTTCGAAAATCGAACCCTTACGAGATCTTTGGAACATAAAAACACATTTTCAGTTTCACCAAAATCTGATAAAACTGTGAACGGACGCAAGAAAGTCTGGGCAGCGCTGGCGACATAAAACACTGATAAGACAATGAACCAAAAAGCACTATATTATTATATCTCTGTATAGGATTCCCGTGGATAGCTGTGATTCAAACCAGCCTTAAATTGGTATTTTGCAAACTTTTACACCATACCTTGTTATTTTAAAGGATAAGGCAGTTGATAGTCAATTTAATTGTCGAATTTCATGACCTATTTTGAATTTAAATGATCCCGAAAATATTTTGTAATGCATTAATTGCCACAATAGGGCAATAGTAATCCAGATAAGTGTCTGGTCTGACACAGGGGCTGATTGGGTAGCTCTGGGTCCTAGAACCTATAGGTTTCCTGGGGATCGGGTAAATAATGCTTGATATGACGTAAAAACGAAACTACCACTCATAGATCTTTTTTCCCGGATTTACACCATTACATTTTTAGTGGATGGAAATATGAATATTATATATTTTGAAAAGAATATATGACAAATTATTTTCCAATCGCCTTCAATGGGCCAATGTATCTTATAGAAGTCACTGCCTAAAAATAGATGGGGGACAGGGCCAACGTTGTGTACATGCAGGGGCGTACATGTCGATTCTGTTTGGTGTTTAGCAATAATGAGACTGACTGATGCACAGGCCTCTAACACGGGTGACGCTGGTGCGAGCTTTGGATTCTGTTTAAAGATCATGCTGCCCCGGAAACATTCTTGAATCTAGAGTCCCTGAAATGCTATTTCCTGGACTCAGGGGGAAGATTTTGCAGAATTCTAGTGGTCCGGAATCACGCATGAGAATTCATGTTATTTATTAGGAATTTTGCAAGCACGTACAAAGTACTGTGACTCTGTGACAACTTCTGAAAATGATAATAGTTACATCATTTACATGGACTTATTGTTGTGGTGAATATACATAAATTAGCAAATGTCCTTATATTTTCATCAAGCGTCCGCCCTTTTGTCAAGGTCGATCGTGTCACACAGTTCACGCTCACACGCATTGTCATAAGGAGTTTCTGTAACATTTCTGAACGCAGAACAGTTTTGACTAATTTGAGCTTTGAAAGACTGGCGCGTATTGTGATATCCAATCAAAGTAATCATATGTTTGCACAAATATATTCATACATATATTAAGTATTTGGTATTTTGACATTGTTTGTTTACCTCATTAATTCATTTAATCACCGATGCATACCTCTGAGACCGACTGTAATGACTGTTCATATTTTGAGACCATCCAATAAATAGACTTACTAATTAATGAAGGAATTACCTGTTATTTGACTGAAATAAAATCTCTCAGCTTTAACTGGATCGGTACCAATGAATCCGCTGTTTACCATGTCTTGTAGTGGTCGTCTTAAATCTTCCTCATTATTGGAATCAAGAGATATGAGATGAAATGTCACTTCAACACAGCCTTTCCTGAACAACAGAAACAATTGTATATCTATAATACCAACAAAAACAGCTGACCATTACAAAAGACAGTTATTTGTAGGAAAATATCTTCAAATGTACATGTAGCATAAATTCAACGACGATGAAAATAAATTCGTCATCAGTCGATTCTAGCTTGAGGCTGAGAACAGTTAGCCAGCAATGAAGTGTGGGAGTAATGTTGTTACTTTAAACACTATGAATGGAATTATTTAGATAATACACCATTTGTACCTCAGACAGGGGGTGAGAAAACTACACGGGTAGATTTTGACCCAGTGACGAGGCGGTGGTGTCACAATATTCAGTTTTAGTATAAAAAATTAAATTTACTGTTTTAATTATTTGCCGTACTGGATTGAGATGTGTTTGTGAAAAGATAATACAACAAAAGATACAAAAACATGGGAGATGAAAATTTAAATAGAAACAAATCTTGAAATGACTGTGGTTAATCTGGCAGATTATGAAACGGGGAATCCACCTTGATTATGAATGAACTGTTTGAAGTGTGAATGAAAACGATGGCAACACGCAGCGTAAAATACTTCCATACAGCAGCTTTGTTTTTATGTAAAATATAAGTATAGACAGTAGCTTATGTCGACCAAATTTCAAAGTATGCCTTCAAGAAATCTATCCTCTAGTATCTTTAGGTTCTGTAGGACAATAGGTGTTATTAGGTCTCAAGATTTAGCAGGTAGCAATGAGGAAGAGATGCTTAGTGGACTCTCCCACAAGGTGTAACGTTTTTCTATCAAATGTAATGGAAACATCATCCAACCCAATACCTATATCCTGACATTCAACAAACCACAATTGTCCAGAATAATTAAAGCAGGGTTTCTCTCGAATCCAGTTTCTCCTTATATACCCAACCCGCTTTGGGGCATAGTAAAAATGTATTTATTGTGTCGGAATCATGCGTTTTAAGAGTTAATTTGGTCAAGTATATTTAACTTACGCTACTTTCTTTACCACCACAAATAGTTTTGGTTGGTCCAGATATAGATCTTCAATAATCTTTTCACATCTTTTTGCAAATTCTTTATATTTAGGACTCGTGTTGTCTATCAATTCAAAGAACCTGTGTCCGCTGTATTTAAATCTACCCTCATATATTCCTAAAACAAAATATCCGGTACATTACTGTTTAGGGTCCTACTTTCTGATCGGGACTACGTCCTACTATTATATGGAATTTCAACTACTATGTCACTATATAGTCTTTCGAATAGTACGTAAAGCCAAGACCCTGTGAATACATTTGCGTACAAATAAAAGAACCCATGGCAGTTAGAATTCGAATTAAGAGTAGGCCGTAGCTCCACATTCCGGGCAAAACTTTCCTCGTAGCACACTGTGTGGTTTATACTCGTTTTCATTAGCCCCGTTGGTGCAGACATGTAGGACATTAAACCCCATTTCATTTTATTTGAAAACATTTCACCCTAACAACATCAATTCACTCTCTCTATATATATTTGTAATTCACACATGTCTAGCTATATTAAAAGGGTGGGATAGTTATAACACCAGTGGTTACTCATAACAATTACCTCGTAAATACTGTTTATGAATTACAATTACCCCGTAAATGCTGTATTTATGAATTACAATTACCGTATACTGTTTATGAATTACAATTACCCCGTAATTACAATTACCGTAGTAAATACTGCATTTATGAATTACAATTACCGTAGTCAATACTGCATTTACGAATTTCAATTGATGAATAGTGATAACCACAGAAAACAGAGATTGCCTCGTAAGTATTACGATTACCTCGTTCAAATCATAATTATAAAAATTGTTTAACATACCACTGCCTGGTTCCAATGTTTTTATAATCCCCGTAAAGTTACATCTTTCTAGAGCCACTAAAAAGTTAACATATGAATTTTTTCCTTTTCTATACAATTTCACCAATAGTTTTAGCATACATTCTCTTCTACCCCTTGATTCTAAATACTCTAACAAATGTTCAAATTCGTCATCGTCGAAAACAAATAATGAATGAAGTTCAATAATAAGTTCTTTGGGATCTATGCTTAAAAGCAATCTTATATGTTTTTGAATTTTCCACCGGTCATTTTCATGCATACGTTCATTGCTATGAAATGCAGGTATGATATCTACAACCGTTTCCTCCTTACTTGCATCATCATCATCGCCTGGGACATAGTCATCGTCATCATCTACAAATACAATTACAATTAAATTTGTTATTAGAAATTATAAAGCACGATCTCCGGTCGAATATGGAAGGCGGTGCTACCAAGTCGTTTACCACAGCTGACGTGTTGATCGTCTAGGTTTGACTCGTGGATCGTGTTAGGGGAGCGAGAGAGAAATGGGGTTTAACGTCCACTCGACACAAGCTAACTACGGCTAGGACTTCACTTGGACTTATGTACGTTTTCAGCAGTCGCATTATATCGTATGTTTATCAGGAACAATAATACAAAAGTTTCTTGGATGCAACTTGATATGCCTTTCTCTCAACCCTAATCCTGTTCAAGTGTAAATCGCGTGGCCAGACTCTGGAAACCACTATCAGGAGAATCAAATGGTCTACTGAAAATCGCAATGGCGTCGAACTATTGTAGGACCCAGTGACGTAACTCAGTAACTGGTAATTTTAAACAAATTAATTGCGTTTCAATTAAATCATATATACCAAACGTTATAATTCATATCGTATGTATTTAATAAATCCCCTATATTGTTACAGATGCATCATGTAATACTTAGATAAAGGACTGACCTTTCTTGTTATAATAGTTCAAAAATAGATAATGAAAAATAAATATGTTGAGCAAAGTTACAAGTGTTTGACGTTTTTAAAAGATGTAGTGTAAATTGCTTTATCGTTAAATGGTCTAGCGAGTTGATTATAAGCTTGCCATGTGAATAATTGTCTAAAAAAATAGGCAACTTTAACTCTTACATAATGCATCGCGTGTAGGTAAGATTGTCAGGCGCAATCATTGTAACGGACATTATATACAGATCTTCCTATCGCATTTGATGCTGCGACTGTCAAATACGACCCCCTATGTACATATAAAGTTTGGAACCGTTAATAACAAAGCAACACAGCTAGCGGGTAACTCATGTGGTTAAAGGAAAATGTTTCATGATTAAAGGAAAATGTCACATGATCAAAGACCAGCGGCTGCTGCCAGGCAAGGATAAGCCCACATTTTGCAAGAGATGGATAGAGAACAAGTTAAAATGAAAAGCGAACTTTTGTACAATCAGGGACATAATCCAGACAATTATGTTCTGAAATGCGCAAATATCAAAATGGACTTGGATCTTTGGGATATAAAGACATGTTTTAAGTTTCATCAAAATCGGATAACAATTGTGACCTCTAGAGGGTCCACAACTTTCGTATTACATACTCTTACAAAATTTGCGTATCAAGAGCGGCATTTTGTCGGGCAATTTCATTTCGATTTTCCCGAAATTCCAATTCAATCTTTATTATATATTTAAACTGTTTTTAAAATCGGAACAAAAATTGTGACCTCTAGAGAATCCGCAAGCTCAAAATGCGTTTTGTCGAATAATCAGGGAGCATACTCCAGGAATTTACTTTCGGATATGCGCGATTATCAAAAGGAACCAAGAACTTAGTATGTAACGGTGATATATTAACACGTTTTTGTATAAGCCCACATTGGAATGTGGTCGTATATTGTCGCCACCCCCGCCCGTCCGTCCGTCGGTCCAGCTTCCACAATTGCTGTGAGCGCTTTAGGGGCTAAAGTTAATGTCCGATTGACTTTAAATTTATACACGTAAGATCATGAGACGGAGAAGCCTACTGATTTTCAACGATATCCGATAATTACTGTCAGAGTGTTGGCCCTTGATCACTTCAAAATATCTTATGGACACTCTAGAGGCTAAAGTTAATATCCGATTGACTTTAGATTTAAACACAATGTCATGCGACGAGAAAGACGATTGACTTTCAGAGATTTTCGATAATTAAGAAGTATGGCCCTTGGTCACTTTGAAAAATCTTGTGGATGTTCTAGAGGCTAAATTTAATATCCGATTGACTTTAGATGTATACGCAGTGTTTGAGGTCATAACCCAAAGGAGTCTATTGATTTTCAACGATTTCCAATAATTACTACCAGAGTTATGGCCCTTGATCACTTTGAAAAATCTTGTGGACGCTTTAGAGGCTAAAGATAATATCTGATTGACTTTAAATTTATAATAGTGTTTAAGGCCATAAGACGAAGAAGCCCAGTGATTTTTAATGATTTCCGATAATTACTACCACAGTTATGGCCCTTTATCACTTTGAAAAATCTTGTGGTTGCTCTAGAGACCAAAGTTATCATCCGATTGACATGAGATTCAAACACAGAGTTTAAGGTCTTGAGACGAACAAGTATATTGATTTTCAATGAATTTTGATAACTTGAACAGATAAATCCATGATATTAAATGTTTCGTATACTAAACGTTAGCATGGGGCACAACTAAAAGCCGAACAAATTCTAATGATGTTCTGATAATTACGTAATGAGTTGTTACTCTTAATCAGATTTTAGTGTATTCTAAATGTTTCATTACCGAAAAAAGTAAAAATATGCGGCAACTCTTGTTGACTGCTCATACGACTTAACTGCTGTGGGTGTATGTTTCGTTGCCTGGCAACGTATCTTTTAAATCGGATAAAAATTGTGACCTCTACAGGGACCACAATCTAAAAACGTGATTTTTTGTACAATGAAGGGCCATAATTCAGGAAGATACCATCCGATATGCGCGAATATCGAACGGAACCACGATCTTTGGGTTATAAACATGTATTTCAAGTTTCATCAAAATCGGAATATGTCACATGATTAAACGGACATGGCACATGATTAATTGATCCGCTGGATTGTAAAACAATAAGAAATCAATTTTGGTTGTTTTTCTGGCTTTTCTTAAAATGGAAATGAGTAAAAGCGACTAAGCTACAAGTATCTACAACATTAGGGGAAGAGGTTCAGATGTGCTCTAAATTTTGCAATGGATTCCAAAAACAATCTGAAAATCGTTGTTACAGATGAACTATAACACGGATCTTTAAGTAAATATTAGAATTGCAGTATATTTAACCAATCCTATGTTTATAACCCAATCAGGGCAATAATTCAGAATCTTACGGTTCGACATGCGACAATATCCAAGGAGACCAAGATCTTCGGAATATAGACATACATCTTTTAAAAGTGACATCAACATCGGATCAAATTTGTAACCTCCAGAGGGTCCACATTCCAAAACTTTGGTATTAAAACTTTTACACTAGTACCTCGAGCGGCCATTTTGTCGGATCGTTTTGATCCGATTTTCACGAAATTCGAACTCAACCGTCATTATGATGTTGCGGTGGCATGTTTAACTATGTTTTTTACATCGGATAAAATGTGGGCGGATACAAACGCGATTTTGTTGTATAATCAGGGTTTTGTTGTATAATCAGGGATATGCGCGAATATCGAAACGAACCAAAATCTTTCGGTGATAAACATACATTTTACGTGTCATCAAATCGATTTAGAGTTGTGATGTGTGTCCACATGCTAGAGGCTTAATTATTTGTACAATTAGGGATACATGACATTATTGACAGGAACCGAGGTCTTTGGGTTATAAACATACATTTCAAGTTTCATCATAATCGGACAAAAAATTGTGACCTGTAGAGTGTCCACAAACAAAATGTGAACGGATGGACATCCGGGTCGACAGTTGCGACGACAATATACATTCACATAAAAATGTGGGCATATAAAACTATGGCTTTATTGCATTCACCATGTTTTGAAAAAAAGGGTGATGACTCCGTAACGAAGAGTTGTTGAATGCTGAAAATCAATAGGATTCACCCTCGCGTGACCGCAATGCTTGCCACCATTTTTGAAAATCATCCGTTAAAATCTACATCCTCTATCGTGTTAACAAGGTTTTCGGAACCGGAAGTCGACGTACACTGAATACCGAAGAATATGTCCTCTCATGACCACAATACTTCACACCAAATTTGACAAGGTTTTCGACGAAGTGGGGGGGGGGGAGGGCAAATAACTCTGAAACGGAAAGTTGCAGAATGCTGAATATCGATAGGATAGGGTAAGTTCCCACATGACCGCAATGCTTTACACCAAATTAAGTTCACGAGTCAATATATTAAAAATTGAAGCTAACTGTAATTTAAGAATTACGATTACCTCTTTTTAAAATTCAAATCATAATTATCAAACTTGTTTAACTTACCACAGTTCAGTTCCAATGTTTTTATAATCCCCGTACATTTACATCTTTCTAGAGCCACTAAAAAGTTAGTATATGCCTTCGTTCCTTTTGCATGCAATATTTCCAACATTCTTTGCTTACATTTTCTTCTGCCCCTTTCTGCTAAATATTGTAACAAATGCTCAAATTCGTCATCGTCGAAAACAAATAAAGAATGAAGTTCAATAATAAGTTCTTTGAGATTTATATCTAAAGAACCGGAACTCATGTGTTTTTGAACTTCCGACCAGTCGGTTTTATGCATACGTTCATTGCTATGAATCGCGGGTATGTCATCATCTACAACCGATTCCTCCTTACTGGCATCATCATCATCGCCTGGGACATTGCCATCGTCATCATCTACAAATACAATTATAAATGAATTTATTATCAGAACTTATTACAAACATTAAGAACTTATTGTAAATCAATAAGAAATCGATATTTTGGTTGTTCTAGTGGCCAGGGCCCTGCTTCACAAAAACTTAAATCTCCTTAAAATCGTCTTAAACTAAAATTTCATCCTAACTTAAGATAGATGCGTTTCACAAAACGATTTTAAGCATGTTAAAATTTTATCTTAGCTTAAAATAGCCAATTTTAACTTAGTATAGCTGTCACCCTCTCCTAACTTAAAATCACGACATATTATCAAAAACTGATTAGGGCTACGTTGTTATATCTATTGCGACAGATAGATAGATTTGGAATAATGTTAATATTGCCCGGGTCACATATTTTTACCATACCATTATTTACAAAAATAATTTTCATTCATTTTCTTGTCATAGCATGGGCAATACAGCTACCTTTCACCCTTTTATTTCATTATATATAAGGACATTTACATAATTAGATGACGCCCAAATTTAGACCTCCAAGAAAACACTCAAAACCCCAGTAAACAAAACCCTTTGTTACCATTTTATACAATTACCATATGATTCAAGTATACATTATACTATTTTCAAATAATTAAAAAAAAGAAAATCTGATCTCACTTCATATTTAATGTAATGGAAAGAAAAGAACTTTCACTGTAATACCAATATCTTCGTTTAAAATGGCCAAATTCTTTGTATTAGACAAGACAAGCCATATGCAAAGTATTTACTCATATGTTTAGAGTGTAACAGTGATATGTTTCGAACGATTTTTAAAATCAGATAAGAATTGTAACCTCTAGAGGAACCACTAAAGCTAAAAACGCGATATGACAGTCCGATATCGACAGAAACCGCGATCTCTGGGTTATAAACATTTATTTCAAGTTTCATCAAAATCGGTCCACAACCTTAGTATTACATTTACATATTTTTGCGCTATTTGTGTACGAGGCGCAGCCATTTTGTTGGCAAATTTCGGACTAATTTTCATGAGATTTGAACTCAACCGTCATTATAATGTAACTGTGATATGTTTACATGTCTTTTGAATCGTATACAAATGGAACCTCTAGGGGATCCACAATTTATACACGCAAAATGTCGTACAATCAGGGGCCATAATCTTGGAATTTACTGGCCGATATGCGCGAATATCGAAAGGAACCGGGGTTATAATCATACATTTTAAGTTCCATCACAATCGGATAAACATTGTGCTAGTATCGCATCCACAATGTTTTCGAAAAGGGTGATAACCCTGTAACGAAAAGTTGCTGAATGCTGAAAATCAATAGGGTTTGCCCTCTCATGAATTCAATGACCTCATGACCTCCAAAACCACCCTGCACGTTTCAAGTCAGTAGCTTGAAGCGTATATATGGTATTAGTGTCAGTGGCTTGTGGCACGAAGTAACAGTATATTGTCGCATACATAATATATTATGTCAACGCTTGGGCGACATAATATATTGTGTTGACGCTCCAAGCGTGTTAGCATATTAGACCTGTAGACTCAGTGGAATGTACGCGTCATCAGAGCGGATCCAGGAGTTGGACCATGGGGACCGGTCCACCCCCTTAACAATAGAAAGTGTCCCTGTAAATAAAAGAGGGCATCCTTATCAGAAAAAGGGCACCTGTGATGTCAGAATTTCAAAAAAGGGCACTTTTCTTTCGGATTAGGGTTAGGGTTAGGGTTAGGGTTAGGACACAGAAAAGAGAGAAAAAACAGAAAAGAAAAAAACAATCGAAACTTACCGATTCCATGATGGAAAATACCGCCAAAATATGTCTCCAAAGCATTCATTGGTTATCAAAGCGCCAATTAAATCTATCGTTGCAAGTTCATGCCTAGTCACCTCCATCCTAGTTCCAAGCGTTGACATAATATATTATATCGCCCAAGCGTTGACATAATATATTATGTATGCGACAATATACTGTTACTTCGTGCCACAGGCCACTGACACTAATACCATATATACGCTTCAAGCTACTGACTTGAAACGTATCGCCTGCCAAAACACAACAAAGGGGGCGGAGAAAGTTGCTGAATTCTGAATTTCGATAAGCTATTTCCGCATATGACCGCAGTGCTTCACACCAAATTTGAAAATAATCCGCCACAAACGGTAGTCTCTATTGCGTTCATAAGCCAGTATGTTAAAAACTGTACGACAATCGACAACGTATAGTAATGCGGCGAGGACGAAAAGCCCAGGTTCCGTCTACACATTGGCGTGCACGTAAAAGAAGAATGCACAGTTGGAAATTCGAAAAATGAGTAGGCGGTAGTGCCGCTGTGCACACTGTATGACGTTTGACCACCGGTGCAGAACGGTAAGACGTAAAACTCAATTTGACTTCAATTTTAGTCAAAACAAAAATTATTTGGAACATTTGAGATAAAACTAAGTAACAGTAACTGGACATAGCAAATTGGTAAAACATATTCAAAACATATATACCTTTAGTCAAAATTTGCTTCCTAGCTGCTATACTGGTCCTCGTCAGCTCTGTTTTTTCTTCTAGTTTTGGCATTTTTTCATCTATAGTTTTCGGGTTATTTCTGCTGTCACAATACAGTTTATCCTCATCCTGGTATAATTCCTTTTCTGGTTCTCTGAATGTTTCCTCTACGCATGTTCCATATCCTTTTTCTACATGTTTTCTTCTTTCTTCGTCATGATGAGCAACACGTTCATGTATTCCATCTTTCCTATTACGATGAATCTCAGTAATGCGGCGTTTTTCATCAACCATTTGTTGAATACGTTCATCTAAAGCTTCCATTTGTCTTTTGTACTCTTCATCGTCAGTCAGCTCTCTTTCATCCTGTGAGTCAGCCATTGTACTATTTAAAGCTATAGTGTCATTTAGTTAGATCATTACTACAAAACTTTGTCCGCAGAAGTAAACAGACCGGATGAACGAGGATAGATTAAGTAACGTGTTTTGAATCACTCGAACAGACTGGATGAGTGAGTAAGGATTAAGCATCGTGTTTCGAATCACTGGAAAAAAAATTTAGTCCCTTAAAAAGCATTAAATATAAGTAAACGTTTAAGTGCGACTTCGAAACCTCTAATGCCAATTGGAAAATCCCAAGAAAGATAATTTTAGTTGGAAGCGTTGCGAGATGACATCATGGTTATTTGTGTGAGTGGATGATGACCTCAACACAAGTTAATATTTGTGTGATCAAGGGAGACTTTGACAATCACATTTGGCCACAGATCAACACTTATTTCCCTATTGACTTTAATGTTAAATCTCATCGCTTAGACCGTCTCTAACTTTTTCCCAAATTTTCCTGGGATGGGACGCATTCTACCACAGATGGAGCAACATGTGGCAAGCTCTTACTGAAAAGCAGGAATGGGGTTCACTATGGAAAACTCGAGATACACAAGCTGGGAGTAGAAACATGTCAACATGCAACTTTCCACTCGCCAAAATCATGAATACATGTATTAACCAAAACCTGGCAGAAAATGTATACTCAAACCCTTTTCTTCGGTTCTACACCGAAACGTCAACAAAGATCGCCATACAAAAAGGGGGAGGGGATAAAGACTAAAATTAACTTCGGCTCTTGTTTGGTAATATTTGGTGATCTGTGTTTTATATAGGGGTGAAACTTCAGGTATCAGCAAAATACCCTTTTTTGTTTGTTTCCGATGTATTCTGGCAAAATGCCGTTGAACAAAATCAAAAAATAAATGATGGCTCTTTTAGTATATATGCCGCTTTATGTATACCGGTGCATCTTAGGCCCATGGGCCTTTTGTTCTAAAATTTAAAAATCGTTCTTATTAAAGGCAATATTTTATTTAAGTTATGTGAAAAGATTGGACACGTTGCAAACAAACTGCATAAAAAATACTCATAATTTGGAATTTGCCAATAATTAACCGCTTATTAGATATGCCAGATTGGCAAGAAATATATTTGTAGAAACTTTGGACAAAATGCAAACAAAAAAATCACAAATCAATGGCATTGACTGTAATATAAGAGATACATACTGAAACATATATCCCTACCACAAAACATGTCACTAAATCAATCTAATCTTAGGTTTCAGAAATAACATTACGAAAGGACTCTGTCAAACGGCTGTTTTACCATCCCTGACTAACATAATATAAACTAAAATACTTGCAATAAATATGAATTATGGTTAAAAATAGAATTTGATGAATGAACACAAGCAGTTGCCATGCAAAATACGTCCATATATAGCTGAAACGGTGTTTAAAATCACATTGTGACTTCTACAAGAACCAGAAGCTAAAACGCGTTTTTCCGTACAATCAGGGGCCATAATCCAGGAGGTTACTGTCCGATACACGTGAATATAAACATGGACCGAGATCTTTCGGTTATAAAAATACATTTTAAGTAGACATATTTTGATGTATCTACTTGAATTAATTTTTATGGCAAAAGAATATTTGTGTGATTTTATTATAAAAATGAAAAATATTATCTTTTATATCTGAGAAATGAAGTGAAATGAAATGTATGACAAGTTAGCAGCAATAAACGAATTCAATATTTTAATTATATATTCTTTTTTTCTTTTTTTTTTGTTTGTTGATGTATAAAATAAAACTTTGAAATCAGGTCAAATATTGATGTCAAAATTTTGATCATTCACAATTTGACATCGATTGCTGAAATAACTATTATTTTTTTTTTCATCTATCTATTTTTATAGTTACGTCATAAAATTGAATTTGAAAAAAAAAAAGGATTTTTTTAAAAATCATTTCAAATATTTATAGGCGGGGAAGAATACCGTTTTACTTTAAATAAATTGCAAAAGAAACCAAGGCAGATTGGTTCCTTGATACATATGTCAGACAAAATCATACTCAAATTCGGCAGAATTCTGCCAAGGCAAAATGACGTAATTTACATAATTCAATGTGCCGACGAGAGGCCCAATGCGGGGGTGTCCAGCAAATGGGCACAAAACCAGACCCAATTTTTCTATAGTATTTTGTTTGCGTAGAATACGAAGCCGAGTGGTATTCAATCCGCCGTTCAGGCATTTTCCGAGATATTCGGGGTCAAAGTCTGTTTCAAAGCTATAACTGTTCATTCTCGTAACTAATAATGATAGCAACTAATAACTCTTTCAATAAAAATGTAAACTTGCTAAATTCACATTGCTCTTTGTGACCCCGGAGGTCAAAACATCAACTTTTCCGTTTTTGAACTTGGAAGATTTAACGCAAAACACGGAAGATTAAAATATAAAAACTAAAAAGAAACCTGTTTCTAATTAATAATAAGAGCATTTAAATTTATCTTAGCACCGTATGGTTACTTTGGAATGCGAAAAAGATTTTGCATAACAAGACCAAAATGCGTTAAAACCGTCAAATCGAAATCTCTCCGATATAGTTTGTACGATGATTGCTACATTCATGGGAGGTTGGATGGCCGAATGGTTAGGGCGTGCGAGCTGTATCATAAGGTCTGTCATTGAGTCAACTGGCGTGGTTTCGATTCCCCGGTTTTACGTGACAAGGAGTTGAGTCGCCTCTCTCTCTCTTCTCTCTCTCTCTCTCTCTCTCTCTCTCTCTCTTTAGCTATATTCATAATGAAACTAGGTGGCCGAAAAACAATTGGGGGTCTAAACATAGTTTTGTAAACAGGAGGTCGATCATCAAATGGATATGAATTGTACAATATGTTAATCCCGAAATGAATATAATAGAATGAATTTTAACTCCTCTGTTCGGTGTGAAATATAATTGTTAAAGTTTATATAGATAACACGATAAACAGAGTTACCACACTTTAGTTTACACAAGCAAGCAATCCGTGTTATATAAGTGAACAAGTTAGAAAACTAAGCTTCTCGGTGATAACAGTTGGTTTATACCATAAATATTAGAGCGTAACCAATGTTTAAAAAGCTGCATTAACTACAGCAATATACAGTGTTTGAATAGACGTAAAGTAATCTTACACACATTCAGTTATAGTCTAACCGGGGTCGATTTAATCTTAGATTTGACTAGGTGCATTGCAAGGTTTATTTTAATCTTGTACTTAACCTAAATTGTTGGGTGCTCGGATTTGTCCTACTTTGAAATCAGGTCAAATGTTGATGACAAACGATTAAAGATACATTATGTAAGATTTATATAAAGAGCTAGCCATTCTTGCTTTAACAGTTCGAGAGAGAGAGAGGGGGGGAGAGAGAGAGAGAGCAAAATGGGGTTTAACGTCCACTCGAAACAAACTAGGTCATTTCGGGACTAACACTGGTTCAATTTTATTTCAACAATTCGCTTGCGCATAGGGGTCTTTAGCAGTGGGAGGAAACCGGAAGACCCGGAGAAAACCACGAGGTTGGACAGGCGACCCTACTCCTTGCCCCGTACACCCGGGGAATCGAAACCCCACCAGTTGACTCAATGACAGACTTTATGATACAGCGCGCGCACGCTAACCATTCAGCCATCCAACCCACCTTAATAGTTCGAAAATCGATAATGTAAAATGAATAATTTGAAAATGTCATTCAAAATACTATATTGCGAGCGAAGATATTAGCCTTTGAAGGTTTGACAAGACGTGTGCAATAATTTCAACCACCGCACTGGTTGTTCGAAGATAATCGCTCCTCCATTTTTAGCTTAAATCAAAATGTGGCTGAACTATTCTAATCTATTCAATATCGCAGAAATTTGATGCCATCGAGAGTTGATTATGGCCTGGATATGTTAATTAATGTCTAATTAATACTTTATAAAACATTTCAGACCTAAAGAAAGACCTGCAATAGGCAGATTTAGCTCTTGCATAATATAGTTTAAGTAGGTTATTTGGTGTTTATTTTGATTTTTTTTAAATAAAAATCGGATCGTAAACAAAGGTTTGGTGCAACGGTTGAAAATAATTAAATGTGAGAGCGTATGGCACAGAACCTTTAAAATCAGACGCCATTTTTCATAGGCCAAAATAAATAATGTCTGTGTTTACTGATACTTGACCATAAAAAACGAGGTGTTGCTCCTTGTTCTCTCGTGGTTGATGCCAAACGATTAAGTACGTCACATGGTTCTAATTTTGAAAGTTTGTGTCTTTTGTCTTTAAATTTCTTGACAAAATCCGTAAAATCTAACAGTAAATGTGTTCCCGGTTGAAATATTTCTTGTTATTCACGCGGTTAGATATTTGTTGTTTTTCGCTTGCAATGTGGTTTGTGTCTTGTCCGCAGGTTTGTCCTTTCGTTTTTATTTGTGTACCCCCCCCCCACCTTAATTTACTATTAATAACTTTGGACCGATACACATTGTTCTACTATATAGATATTGTAATTAATGTATAAGTGTGTTATTATGTTCTATAAAAACATCTAAGTTGTCTCTAAGACAACTCGAGCCGATTTCTTGATTTTATTTTACTTCCTTCATCAGCCATTTTGAATCATGGTCTCTCAATCGGTGTCCCTATTTCAAAGTTTTATTAGTCTTCATCTTGTGTTATTTTCTTGATTGGATAACAAATCACCTTTTTTTTGTTTATGCTTTGTTTTAGAAATATTTTAATGAAAATATGTCTCCGATTTTATAGATATTATGATCATAGAGGTGTTAGATGAGTGGATGTTTTTCACTGGCTAATTCTTTAACGATCGGTGTGTGGACAGACAGTAGACCTTTGATAGTAAATAAAAGATCTGACAATATAATAAACATTTATGTAAATCAACTAATTAAATCAACCTGTCTATAATACCATAGTAATAAACAACAACAACAACAATTTAATAAATTATAACTGACCTGTTTGGTGTGAAGTATGCTAATTTATACAGTTAACAGGTGATACCTTAACAAAGATACTTTTAACAAAATTAAAGAATTATCACACTTATAATACCATATATAATCCACAAGTAAGCAATCCGTGTTATATTTGTGAACTAATTAGAACTGCGATAACAAGTGGTTTATAACACAAATATTATAGCGTCAATAATAGATTATATTTCTATTGAATAGTAAAATAGACAGGACGTATTAAACTGAAAGTAAAGTAATGAATCACAGTGACAGAAATAGAAGCTATAATAGACAATAAAGCTGTAGGATATGAATAACTATAACAGTGTATGATATGTGTTGAATGATATAATAAACAGGACATATTTAATACTGACGAGACTCTATAAACCTTTAGAATATTAGGGGGTTAGGTGGTGTATCGGTTTAACTCGTATTTAATTTAGTCTCTATAAACCTTTAGAATATTAGGGGTGTTGGGTGGTGTATCGGTTTCACTCGTGCTCGTGAAATCACAAGGTTTGGCATTGAGTCAAGTGGTGCGTTTTCAATTTCCCTCTTTTACGTGACAAGATCGTCTGTCCAAAATCATGGGTTTTCTCGGTGTCCTCCGGTTTCCTCCCACTGCTAAAGACCCCAACTCGCAAGCGAAATATTGAAATAAAATTGAACCGTATGTTAGTCCCGAAATGACCTAGTTAGGATAGGTTGACTCTCTCTCTCTCTCTCTCTCTCTCTCTCTCTCTCTCTCTCTCTCTCTGTCTCCCCCCCTCTCTCTCTGTCTCGATTCTTTAAGGTCTGCTTCCACAAAAGTCATATTACAGACAAGACCTAGGATAGCCGAAGCTTCCTCCTGATTATTAGAATATGACTTAGCAATTTGTCCATCTGCGGCCTTTGACCATGGGATGTTTTAGTGGAAAGTTCTTTAATAAAAAAAAAAGACTTCGCGATTGGTATATGTTCATTAGAGACAACATTTATGCGGCGATATGTGCGACTCTTTTCCGGATTAAATGAAAATGAGATGCCGTCTTTCTACCCCCCCCCCCCCACTACACCACTATTCAACTGTTCGGATTTGGAAGATGTCTTTTGAGCAGACAAGGGTTTAGACGTTCTTTCACCCTCAGCTTCAATATAAGTTTACCTCTTCTGTGGTGATTAATCACTGCCCTCGTGTAGATCTTGTCATCCATGAGTCTAAACCTGCATGTATCAAGTTCATCATGGTTTAGTTCCCATATTGAATTGATCAATGGGTTATCCATACTGTAGATTTCTTTGATGCTGTAGTCTATGTTGTGGAATCATGCTGTGTCTCTTAGGACATTCGTTTGCGATTCTAGCTCAGTGAGTCACTTGGTATGCTAAACTTACTATTTTGAGGGAAAATCCATGGTAGAGTATCACGGATGACCAATATCTCTGCATTGTACACGGAACAAGTTGTTGGGCGGTTTCCTGCTTATTCCATGCAAGTTCACAGATGTATTGTGAAAGACTTCTTATATATCTGTATAAGATCAAGTGTATGACGTCATACAGAGGGGCGACTTTTGGCTCTGTGGCTCTGTCCCTGGAAATCGTGTGTGCGCCAAAAACAATAGGGATCTTCCTTGGGGTACAAGGAATACGTATGCAAAGTTGCAACGCAATCCGTTAAGAATTGCGCCTTGTAGACGACACACAGGCACCCGCAAGTTTTTACAATACTAGCTAATATGACGCCGACAGACACAAGTGGAAGATATGTTTATACACGTATGACAAGAGACAAAGAAGGCTAAGCATTTGTTTTTTTTTGCCAAATTTACAGACTTAACATTAATAAAAAAAAGTGGTTGTGACTCAGCATCTGAGGGTCGAGGCATGAACCAAAATAAATAGTTGCTGTCTTTACGATATAAGGAATAAATATCCCAATTTCCAAGATGGTACATTCAGAATTCCAGCCTGTAGACAAAAACACAAAAATTGGGCGTGGCTGTGCCCCTGGGGGTTGGACATGGACCAATATAAATAGTTACAACCCTATGTTTGATTATGCCGAAATGGAACAACAACTGTTAATAATTACAACCTGTAGAGTATTTACAGATAAAATATTAACAATAAAGTGGGTGTGGCACTGCCCAAGGGAGTCGGGTCATGCTCCAAAATCAATAGTTGCCGTCCTTAGGATATATGAAATAAGTATATCAAGTTCCAAGATAATCCAGTCAGGCGCCCTTAGGCGATAAGGAATACATTTGCCAAGTTCCAAGATGATCCATTCAGAATTGCGGCATGTATACGATAAACAGAAAAAATGGGCGTGGTTCTGCCCCCCCCCCCCCGGTGGTCGGGGCATGCAGCAAAATCACCAGTTATATTACTCTGAGTGTAAGATACTGCCTGTATGAAACAGTCTTGTGCAAAAGTATATGGGTAACTGTAAAGGAGGTCGACTATACGTTGGTTGTATCGATTTCAGGCGCGCCTTCGACGGAATCAATCGAACAAAATTATTTTATATACTGTTAGAGCATAATTTGCATGGGCCTATGATTACAATGCAACAAAGTATTTACAGTAATGTCAAGAGTAAAGTCAGGTCTAATGGCCATGTAACGGGAGAATTCTTATGTCAATCTGTTGTCAAACAAGGCTGTTTGCATTGTTCATAAATGAGCTTGCTTTAAAACTAAAATTAGAATGTAGAAATGGTATATTTGTACATCAGTCGATTGAAGATATATTTTCGCTATTATTTGCTGATGACTTGTCACTAGTTGCTGACAGTATTGGCAACCTACAAGACAGATTAAATGTTTTAAAGAATTATTGTAAGCAATGGAATGTGTCTGTAAACTTAGAAAAGTCAAATATTGTTGTATTCAAGAATGGGGGTGGGTGTGTTATAAAAAAAAGAAAAGTGTTTTTTATGGGTTCAGAAATTGAAGCTGTGTCTTACTATAAATATTTAGGAATTAATTTCTCCAGCAGATTAAAATGGAATTTATGTTGCACAAATCTTGCTCAACAAGCTTTAAAAGCACTTAATGTAATAAAGAAATGTCTGACTAAATATGGGATTAGAAATTGTAAGGCAGGTTTTAAATTGTTTGATTCCATGATAGCACCTATTCTATATTATGGATCAGAACTATGGGGGCTTGAAGTAAGAACACAGATTGAGTCTGTACAAAATAAATTTTGCAAATGGTTGTTATATACCGGAGAACAGACTACAACTTATAGGATTAGAGATGAATGTGGTAGATATGATTTGTATTAGAGGTGAATGTGGTAGATATGATTTGTATTAGAGGTGAATGTGGTAGATATGATTTGTATTAGAGATGAATGTGGTAGATATGATTTGTATTAGAGGTGAATGTGGCAGATATGATTTGTATTAGAGGTGAATGTGGCAGATATGATTTGTATTAGAGGTGAATGTGGTAGATATGATTTGTATTAGAGGTGAATGTGGCAGATATGATTTGTATTAGAGGTGAATGTGGTAGATATGATTTGTATTAGAGGTGAATGTGGCAGATATGATTTGTATTAGAGGTGAATGTGGCAGATATGATTTGTATTAGAGGTGAATGTGGCAGATATGATTTGTATTAGAGGTGAATGTGGCAGATATGATTTGTATTAGAGGTGAATGTGGTAGATATGATTTGTATTAGAGGTGAATGTGGTAGATATGATTTGTATTAGAGGTGAATGTGGCAGATATGATTTGTATTAGAGGTGAATGTGGCAGATATGATTTGTATGTAAACTATATGTGCAGGCCTATCAAATATTTTCTTAAATTGCAACTCATGGATGATAATAGATTACCGACATTATGCTATAAAATGTTGTTTAAACGAGACTTATTGGGTAGAAAAAACTGGTGCACTTCTGTTAGGAATGTTTTATATAAGTATGGTTTGGGGGATGTGTGGATTGCTCAAGGGGTAGGTAGTATACCACATTTCATGTTTGTCTTCAAACAACGTCTCCATGACACCAGTCTACAGTCTTGACAATTAAACATCAACCAATCAACTAAATGTACATTCTATTCAATCATAAAATCAGATTTTGAATGTGAGAATTACTTAAATATTAATCTTCCCCAATCACTAAGATTTTATTTCGCAAATTTTAGATGTTCAAAGCATAAACTTAACATTGAATTATGTCGTAGAAATTGTATTCCGGTTTCTAGACGTGTTGTAGTTTTTTTGCGTTTTTTTTTCTTTTTATACGGTATACATTTTGTACCATTGGCTTTTGGCCACAAAGTACTTGAATAAAGATATTATTATTATTATTATTATTATTATTATCTCATTCTGACCGTAAATAGATAAAACGACTGTATATTTTACTAACAATTTATAACATTACTGTTATTCTCTCGATTGTCTGACCACCTGTAAGATACCGCATGTGTCTCTTACTGACTGTAAATCACGGTATATATTGACTGTGAGACACAACCTGGAGACGTTCCATCTCAGCATTGCCCAAGAAAGTTCATCTGGATTTTCCGGCGTGGTTACCCCTTATCAATGGTCTAGGACGGTTGACCTGGCAAGGGACAACGTATAGTCGTTCAAATTTTTCAATCGATATCTAACATTGTCAAATTAATACTAGAAAAATACACTTACAGTTAACTTGAATATTAAAAGATGGATGTATACCAGTGGATCTGCTTGCTAATGGCCCCAGACAACCTGCTTGCTACTGGCCTTCTATAATAAAATGCGCAGTTATATAGCGTTATAAAGCCTGTATAATAAGTACATATTGAGTTGCATTCAAAACCCATGAAAAGACAGCAACAGAGACCTTATTAAATAAAACGCTGTGACCTCTACAAAGTATAATGCAGTGCATATATTACTAAGCCCTCTCTTAGCCCACAAGATATGAAGTGAATTTAGTGGAATATTTTTCGAAAAGTAAAACCAATTCAGTTCTCAGGGAAACATTCATTTTAATGCGCATCTCTCAAATATGTTGTCATAGAGAACGCAGTAGTTCTGCAAGGTTTTGTTTATTAATATTAAAAAGAAACAAACAGAGATTACATTTAAAACAAACATGATTTACTAGAAACAGCCTCAGTATCAAATCAAATCAAATCAAATCTTTATTAACCTTGAACCACTGGTTCATCGGTAAACATAGCAACATAAG